AACAATAACCAATTTTCCTCGACAACGATGCCAAAAATTGGTGGGATGTCAAGTCCACCAAGCAAATTACATCATTTGTTTGCAAATAAAACGTAATATAATGGTAATAGAGGTATCGATCATCGGAGAAATGGTTGTATTCAATCACCAATGCAATCCAATAGAACTAGTGTAAATAAACTAACTAACTACAATTAAATTAAAAGGGGGTGTTGTGATTGATTGAAAACTAAAAGAATTAAATAACTAAAAAGCTTGCAATTAAGCAAGATGGTGAGATGCTCAAATAGTGGAGACAATTGGTTAACCAAGACAATTCAACACAATGAACATTTGTGTGTTTATCATTAGGATTCAACATGAAGCTTATCATTCATCCCAAAGTGGTTATAACAATCATGAAGCATGATATGCCAAGATTCCTCATAGGTAGTATGGGGGTTGGGGAATCCCACACCACACCTTCTTAATCAAAATTAAGGATCCAATTGAAGCAATTGAACCCAAGAAGTTGATTAGCCTTAAGAATGAAGGAATCCCCAATTCCTCGAGGATCTCAATGCTTACACATCCATAAAGGAGTCATGATTCATAAGCTAGAGATGATTTCTACCATCATAAAGCCCTTGTTCTAAGTAGATTCAATGCTAAACCAAAGAAATAAACCAACAATTGTTTATTCAAGTACCAAGCTCATGATCAAAGTATTAAACAAGCATAAGAAATATGAAATAGAATCATAAACATAACATAAATGACAATTAAGCATGAGTCCTTCAAAAACCAATGGTTTTAGCCAAAGTTAACCAAAATAGAGAAATTAGCCACTCATGGCAATAAAATAACAATCACAGAAGTGTTTTTGCATCAGGAATCTACCAATTAATTAGATAGATGAGAAGAATGAGTATCCAAGCTCCAAAATCGCCTCTAATGCTCTCAAATTGTGGAAAATTGAAGTTGTTGCTGAAAGATCCAACCCCCCAAGGTAAATGGTAAACAAAATGACAAGAATACCCAAAAGTGTGCAGTTGTGCGGGTACCCGCACACCAGAGATTCCACCCTCACAAGTGTTGCTGGAATGATATTGGTCCATTCTTCTCCACTAACCATTCCATTACCTAGGATTCCCTTGGTCCCCTCCATGACTTATATGATCTGAAATTGGCCAATCACCTTCAAGCTCTAAATATGGATAGTCCATGCCCAAAATAAAAATCCATGACCCATATTCAAAAGCCCAATTCATCCAAATCTTCAACTTTTTAAGCCCAAATCTTCTTTGATGGATCCGCAAAACTCAATAATGCATCGAGAAGCCCACTAAGCCCAACTCCAGTCAAACCGCAACCGCAATGAGCTTCAAAAGCCTACATAATATCTCATGCAAAAGAGAAAGCACCTGAAACGATCGATGATAACGAAAATAAAGAATATACAATTGAATATTAATAAAAAAAAAACTAAAAAATACTAAAATAAACTAATAAAAATAAGAAAATAAAATAAGGTATCAGACCCGCAACAAAATGCAAATCTAAAGACATATTCACATTGGGATGATTTGAAATTTGAACATAACTTATGATTTTTGGTAAAATGTAAGGACCAAATTATAATTTACTCGAATTTAAATTATCTTACAAAAATACAAAAAAACTTAACTAAAACTCGTGAGTCTTGATTACAAAAAGTTTCCATCTTTAAAATTAGATCTCACATCGAAAACTTAATTAAGTGTTTTTTTATTATCAACTTGCAACTGTTTTAATTTCTAAGGTTAAAGGATTAATAAATCTTGTAAACTAATCTCCCACTTGCATAAACAAATAAACAACTAGTTTTTATCGCTCAAATCAGATCTAAAGGGGAGAATCATTCAAATTCCAAAACAGGTTTCCTCCATCAACACAAGAACTGAAGAACCCTTGAAGGAATCATCTTTAGATGACTTCAGTTTAGATGACTTCAGTTGTACCTCGGGGAGCGTAGTTAGTTGTACCTTTGGGAGATAGTGAAACATGGGTGTCCAAGAAACTGGGGATGATGAAAATAAAGGAACAAAGAACAAGTACAGAAGAATGGATTCTGAGCTTACCGATTATGGTAATAATGATCCAGAGGTTGTACAATACAATCAGACACAGCGACAAAGAAGCAAGAGAACCAGAAAGTACGTTTTTGCTTGTGCTGTTTTCGCATCTCTCAACAATGTCCTTCTTGGCTATGGTAAATACCCAAAACGACTCTTTGTACTAATTTTAAAGCTTATGGTACAATGACTATTTTCAGCAAGCAACCATTTTTTTATGTATTTGAATTTTGACCTAAAAATACATCGTCTAAGCATTGGTATTACTATTATTAAGATAAATATACAGATTTGGAATCTTGATTCAAAATGTTCTTGATATGCACAGATGTAGGTGTTATGAGTGGAGCAATCATATTCATCCAAGAAGACCTGAACATCACAGAGCTTCAGGAAGAGATTCTTATCGGTAGCCTAAGTGTCATCTCCATATTGGGTAGTTTGGCCGGAGGAAGAGTCTCCGACGCCGTTGGCCGGAAATGGAGCATGGGTCTTGCTGCAATCATCTTCCAGATTGGTGCAGCTATAATGACCTTCGCTCCTACTTTCAAATTTCTAATGATTGGTCGACTCCTTGCCGGAGTGGGAATCGGTTTTGGTGTCATGATAGCTCCTGTCTACATCGCCGAGATTTCTCCGACTATCTCTCGAGGTTCATTCACCTCATTTCCGGAAATTTTCATAAACCTTGGGATTTTACTAGGTTATGTATCCAACTACGCGTTTTCTGGATTTTCTTCCCACACAAATTGGCGAATCATGCTTGCAGTTGGAATCCTTCCGTCTGTTTTCATAGCGTTTGCAATATTCATAATCCCGGAATCACCAAGGTGGTTAGTGATGCAAAACCAAGTCGATGAAGCAAGATCGGTTTTGATGAAAACAAATGAAATGGACTCGGAAGCGGAGGAGCGGCTATCGGAGATACTAGCATCCGCCGGAGCAAAAACCGGAGACACCGCCGTCTGGCGGGAATTGCTAACTCCGACGCCATCTGTCCGGCGAATGTTATTCACTGGAATCGGAATCCAATGTTTCCAACAGATCACCGGAATTGACGCGACGGTGTACTACAGCCCTGAGATCCTACAAACCGCCGGACTTCAAGACAAGTCAAGGCTTTTAGCCGCAACCGTAGCCGTCGGAATCTCGAAAACTGCCTTTATCATGGTGGCGATCTTAGTCATCGATAAAGTTGGAAGAAAGCCGTTACTATATGTGAGCACCATCGGAATGACTTTTTGTTTGTGTGGTTTGGCGATAGCTCTCTCGTTATTTAATGGAACATCTATCGGAGTGGAATTGGTGATTCTATTGGTTTGCGGGAATGTGGCGTTCTTTTCGGTCGGAATTGGACCAATTTGCGGAGTTTTGACATCAGAGATATTTCCATTGCGGTTAAGGGCACAAGCATTCTCATTAGGGGCGGTAGGGAATAGGGTTTGTAGTGGTATTGTTGCAATGTCATTTTTATCTGTTTCTCATGCCATTTCGATGTGGGGGACATTTTTTATTTTCACCATGGTATCTGCTTTATCGGTTGTTTTCGTTTACAAATTTGTTCCTGAGACGAAAGGAAAATCATTGGAACAAATCGAGTCGTTGTTCGGTAACGAACACGATTCACTAGAAAACGAAGTAGAGCTATCAGATACTCAACGGTTGGTGCCAAATCAAGAAAAATCGTCATTTATTATTTAAAAGTTTGTAATATAATTTATCTAAATTTTGTTGTTACAAAATTTTAGAAAGTGCGTATGTGATTTGGCCAACTAGGATTTTTTTAGGCCATTAATTTTGCTTATACTAAGTTTATACTTATATTTATTTGTAGGTTTATGTTTATATTTTATGGGTAAATGACACAAAAATCATTAATTTTTTGTTTTTTTCAATTAACACCGCATTTTTTTCTAAAAACTTTTGAGATTAATAAAACTTTTCTTGTTATTGAATTTAAAAACCGATTTAATAGGGATGATGATTATATACTAGGAAAAAATAGAATCCTAGATAAGTACGAAGATGCATATAATCTTAATACTCCCTCTTAAGTTGGAATGTGTAGATCTCGAACACCCAACTAGCTACAGAGAAACTTGAAACAATCCGCTCCAAGTGTTTTAGTAAAATGTCAGTTGTTTGAAGTTCAGACCGGATAGTAAGCATTTTGATCTCCCTACTATTGACCCTTTCATGAACAAAATAACAGTCCATATCAATGTATATTGTCCGTTCATGACAGACTGGATTTGCTGCAATGTGTTGTCACACCCCCAAACCAAGAATGGCGGAAACGTCCGGGGGTGGAGGACTTCATGTATAATATCATAACCATAATTGCAATAGTAATTCAAGCAAACACAACCAGCATATATATAATTGTCAGAGTTAAATCATTGTATGAATTACATGTTTTCAAATCAATTACAATATGTTGACAAAATGTGAAAAGTTTGACGTCTTAACGTTCCATCATCAAAATGCACTTGATTACCTGTTTAGTGATTTCCTAAGTATACAAGTTGTTTGAAAAAGTGTCAACACAAAGGTTGGTGAGTTCATAAGCTTTTGTTTTGAATTGATAAAAGCCTTTCTATTGTAAATGTAATGTTTGTTCCAGAAAAATCCGATATTTTCCTTAAAATGTGTAATGTAATCTTATATCCAGAGACCGAAATGTATAAGTAACCTTTCTTACTTATAGTAAATAATGCAAGTTTAAATCAACATAAATGCTTTTGATTTCAGTGAAATTCCGTAAATTCCTATGTTTGTTAATACTTTCTGTGAGTTATTATAACCATGCTATGACCTAGTTGGCCTGAAACGACGTTCTTTAGGCGTCGGAAATGTTATGACATTTGTCACCTCAGACCTGCCGGTCTAGCTGTTGCATGCATCTCAGGTGTGGGTTTGTCAAACCCAATATAGATCTATATACAACTATCACTCTCTCCCTTCAGAAGACTCTGGTTACAATACAAGACTTATTGGAAATGTGAAGCAATGTATCACAAAGTCATTAACAAATTTACATGTAATGTAATGAAAATCCCTTTTTTATAAATGTACCCTTTTTGTATAAGTTTGTTATGTAATGTATCATAAACTATACCTATTATAGTTTATCAAAACAAGGGTAGTAGTGGTAATGTACATAAACTATACTTAACATAGTTTATTCAAATGTTTGTATGTACTGGATGTACTTTGATTATAACAATTTGTTATATTCTATGTTCTATATATCTAAATCCATTTGTAAACGGATGCATGTCTGTATATTAAGACAAAATGTCATTTATTGGAATAAAATATATTCACATGAAGATATACACCTTGCTCGACATGTTACAAGGCGAAATGAAATTGATAGCATTTCTCTGTTGTTAACATTTTCTATTACTGTTCTTAGAAAATTTATAGAAAATTCATAACAGGTCCAAATCAGAATCTGTAAATTCTGGGAGTTTGGAAAACGTGTCTAGTTTGTTCATAAATTTTCTTATGATTTTTAGTGGTCTCCAACATGTGTGAAAACGTCCATAATCACAGACTGGTCCGGATTGGTTCTTGAAAAGAGTTTGGTAAAAATCACCATAAATTGTAGAAAAATCGTATGAGGGTGTGCAAGTAACCATTTTAAAGCTAAGAACTGGAACTACTTTCACCTAAAACAATTTTGAAAACTAAAATGTTTAAGTTGATCAAAACAGTCCGTGAATAGAGCCCAACTTTTCTGATGAAAGCTGGTAGAAGAATTTTAATTATGTTCTTGGTGTTTTAACTTGTATTCCCCTCCTTAAAACTCAATAAAGAATAAAAATATAGGGGTATGAACTCACCTTATGTGATATCAGTGTGTGAGTGTTGGAGAAGAGAAGCGTTCAACTCAAGAACACATGAAGATGCCTTGAAGATTTTCAAGAATCTAACACCAAAGTGATGGAATTTGTGTGAGCAACCTATGATTGGAGTAGAATGAAGTGTAATAATCACAAGGAGGATGAATTATACTTACCAAGAGTGGAAGAAAACTGGATGATCATCCTTGGAATCCCGAAATTGAGAGAGAAAGTTTGAGAGAAAAGTTGTGTTTGATCTTTGGTGAAATGAGAGAAAATGAGTGAAGTGAAGAGAGAAGATGTATGTTCCAGCCCTAAGGATGTGGGGAGGGTTGGGAAATGAGTGGAAAGGACATTGAAGTGACCTAGGTAAGGTGGGGAGGTGTGGCTTGTCATAGAGTGGGTGTGGTGGTGGTTGCTTGTGTCATAAGGTAAAGCAAAGTCAACACTCAACCATAAAATCTTATCCAATGGATTTTATTCTTAAATAAGGATTTCCTTAAAAATATGCTAAATTTATGAATATATGGGACCTTATATGTCAAAATATAAGTTTGGGTGAAAATCCCCCATTGAAATAATTAAAAACGGGCTTAAAACGGACTCGGGGTCGAAAACCGGGTAGAAAAGAGGAGGATCCGAAGTCTGACGAGGGTTCGGTCGTCAGCAACCTTGGAACCGGAGTGGATGGGCTGCTGGAGCAGATCCGAGGGAGAGGGGATTGCGGTCCGAGCAGCTACCGCAGGCGGCTTCGTTTGAAGGAAGATCGAAGGCGTGATTCAATGCGCGGGCTTGGTTCCAGATTTGGTGGCTCTGGGCTCGGTGGCTGCGGGCTTGACGGCTGCGACTCTAGGCTTCGGCTCGGTGGCTGCAGCCGAATGGCTGTGGCTGCCCAAGGGCCTCGGTTCATGCGGCTTTCAGTCCAAGAGGGTTCGGCCCTAAGAGGCTTCGACCCTGTAAAGGGGTTTCGGGTATTTTAGGGTATTTTACCCGTTCTAACCTTGTTTTAAGCGATTTTTGACCCAGTTAAGGGTCGGAATGGCCCAAATGATTACGAAAAGTTATGGGAACTTTTGAGAGAGATTTGGGAGAGAGAGAGATAGAGTGAAAGAGATTTAGAGAGGTTCCATTTATGACCTTTTTGAGCATCCGACTTTGCAATGCAAGGTCCGTAAACCCCGTTAAGCCATGTTTTAGTGTCCTACACACTCCCGATGAGTGTGCAATAGTGTTTTATCTCTTTAGTTCAGTGTTTAGCACTATCGAGGCTAAGGAAAATTAAACACACGAATTTTCTAAATGATGTTTTCTCATTAAAATAGCGAGTTGTACAGTAATTACATAACGTAAACCCTAATATACAAGGGTTAATTGAGTCGTCCGGTTTGACTCGTTGGCTTTGTTTTGACTTTGACTTTACCCAAAATTGACTATTGTCACATGTGTCTAGTAGCTTTAATGTCATACATTAGAGGTGTACGACCCACATAGCAGCATCTTAGTATTAAAAGAGCCACTTTAGCCATAAAACTTCACATATAGTGCTAGCCATGGATGTATATTATGCTTCTGTTGAGGACCTATATGCCACTGTTTGATTCTTCGTTCTCCACGAAACCGAATGACGTCCAAGATTAATAAAGTACCATGTGCATAACCTTCTAGTAGTAGGGTAACTTAACCAACTGGCATCATAATAAATAGTGATATCTAAAGTTCAAGTTGAGGAAAGAATAAACCTTAACCAGGAGTGGTTTTTGTTGGATCTAGATGCTCAAGAATTATTATTGACTGATATTACTAATGATATAATCCTATAAGGTCACACCTTAATCAAGTTGATACTTATTAAAGATTTATTAAGTAAATGGTTATTATGAAATAAATTCAACTCTTGTATTTAATTAGAGAAAATTATTGTTTTATGAAAACAATATTATAAGAAGTAGAAACTAGTCATTATATGATATGATATCATATAATAAGTCATGTACAAAGTTAGTCTTTTAACTATGGTAGAGTAAGTAATTTGATTTAATCATGGTTAACCAAAGTGTCCAAGAAACATTGTTTGTCGTCTTTAGGGCCTTATGCCCGAAAGTATGATGAAGAGTGGAGGTTGCTTGTCAACCTTCACTCTCTCTTGTTTCCCATGATCCTATTAGTAGCCAATACTTTAGAGCATTATATTCAAAAGGCTTTACTTTGAATGGGATACAAAAATAGAGTCTTTTGCATGAAAATGTTGCTAGTTGTTTGGTCTCTAACTTTTTTCGATTGTCTCCCAAAACCATGAGCATCTAAGATCTTGGAGTTATCTCTCTTTTGAAGTTGGTGCTTTACTTTTGGTGCTTTTATGTATTCCTTTTTAGAGCTTATTTGTTAAGCATTTAAAGGCTTAAAGAAAAAAGAAATAAAAGAAGAAAACTAGCATTTTTGGTATCTTATTCTTGTTGGTGGATTTCTTGTAGAGATGATCAAGCTTCTTGTTCTTTCCATCTACTTCAAAACCACAAATCCAAAAGAGTCCAAAGGCTTCAAAGGTTGTCTTTTTTAAAACACCCTATAGTTGTGACAACTGTTAATTTTGGATCCAACAAAAGTCAACAAGTCAACAAAAGTCAACTCGACCGTATTAGAATTTTAGAAAATCTTGATGTTTCCTAATGTACAACCTACAAGTATTAATATGAAAGACCTCTCCTTTTGCCAATTATTGAATAAAAATCCTACTTTTGGCTTAGCAACGTTAATTTCGATAATTCCAACATATATTATTTTGGTATAAATAATATCTTCAACACATTGTGTTATTATCTTTATTGATAATACTTCCTTTATAATTATTTAAAT